GGCGGCGCGGACCGCGTGCTGGAGCTCTTCGACCCGCCCAAGGTAAGCTCCCCGCGCGACAGCCCTGCGGGCGGCCGCGCAGCACCCAGAGGAAAGCGTGCCCTTTAAAAAGTGAAGAGTTTCTTTTAGACCATTTTAGATTGGCGGAGAAGTTGCTGAGATGGCCCAGGGTTCCCTCGTACGCCACACGCAGCCTTGCCTGATGTGAGCATCTTACGTTACTGCGTGCATTTGCATAACCCAGGCACCAGCGCTGGCCACTAGTATTAAGGACACTCCGCGTTGTCTTTGGATTTTGCTGGTTTCCCCTAATACTGCTTTTCTGTTCCAGCATATACCATATTAGATTCGGTTGTCATGTCTCTTTAGGGGCTTAATGGCTTTGACAGGTTCTCAGGCTTTCCTTGTTTCCCATGACAGTTTTGAGGAGTACCCGCCAGGGATTGTGTACAAAGTCCAGAGACACCGTATATGGGCATCATGTGGGCTGTGACAGGGCGGTCCAGGTCCTTGACAACCCTGACCCAGATGGGCCATGACAAATAGGGGTCATGGGTTTTTCTAGAGGGTTCAAAACTGTCATTTGGATTCCTTTGCATGTCTCATGATTTGTGGATGTCCATTTTCAAGTGTTAAAAATTCTGTGTGTTCCTTTTTTGACAACTCAATTCAGCTCTGCAGATGAGGCTGGAGGGTCAAGGTGTTCCAAACACCTGACAAGCTCCATCTTTGACTCAGGTGTATCAAGTTGATGGGACCATGTGGCTTTCATTTAATTCCTTTCTCTTTCTGTTATGCTGCTAGAGAGTGAGCAAAGCAGATGTGATCCTGGCCCTGGGAGGGTCACAGTCCGAATGGAAGAGACTTAGTTATTCATTCATTTAACAGATATTTATTGAGCACCTACAGTGTCCAGACAGATGCTGATGCTGGGGACCTGGCATCTTAGTGGGAGCTACTGAGGAATAAACCTACAACTGAACATGGAATTATAAATTCTACACGGTGTTCTAAAGGAAGAGCAATGGGGCTTCTGGGAGTATCACTGAGGGGCCCCAATTTGGTGGTTGGGATAGGGTGTCGCCAAAGAATCCTCTTGTGTGAAGTAACCTTTAAACTTCAGCACCGTGTCCCACGCGTACACAGCAGTGGGTGTGTGATTCGGAAGCTTCACAAGTATTGCCATGTTTGCACACACCCAAGTGACCCAACACCCAGGGGGCTCCCTCCCGCCTCCTCCATGTCAGTAACCCCAGCCACCCCCTCCTCCCACTGACTCCTACTCCACGGATTACATTTCTCTGTTCTTGAACTTCATACAAATGGAATCACGCAGCATGTTGCTTTTGCTCAGCAGAATGTCGTAGGGACTTGTTCATGTTCTCGTGTGCATCAGTAGCTGCTTTGTATGGATGGACCGCAAGTAGCTTATCCATCCACCTGTTGATGGATATTTGGATTGTTTCTACTTTGGGACTCTTATGAATAATGCTGTTATGAAATTTGGGTATAGTTCTTTGTGTGGACATGTGCGTCCATTTGTCTCAGGGAGATTCCTAGAGGCCTTGCTAGGTCATATGGTAAGTGCATATTTATAAGAACCTTCTATATTTTTTCCAAAGTGGCTGCATGATCTTATGTCCCCACCAGCAGTGTATGAGAGTCTTTTTCCATTTCACCCCTGCTAGTGGATGTGTACTGGTTTCTCATTGCGGCTTTAATTTGCATTTCCCTGATGACTCATGAGGTTAAGCACCTTTTCATTTGTTTATTGGCCACTGGAATTAACTCTTTTGTGATGTGCTTGTTATTTTTATTGAGTTTTCTGTTCTTATAGGAGTTTTTATATATGCTGGATTGTAAATATCATCTCCAACTCCGTGGGTTGCCTTTTTTCTTCTTTAATGGAATCTTTTCATGAACAGAAGTTCTTAATTTTAAGTCCAGGTTATCAGTTGCTTTCCTTTGTAGTTATTGCTTTTTGTGTCCGGTTTAAGAAAACTTTGCCTACCCAGTTTCATGAAGATCTTTCTTGTCTTTTCTTCTGGAACCTTTATTTTTGGGCCTTCACATTTTGGACCAAGATCCATCTCGAATTAGTTTTTATGTATGGTGTGAGGTAGGGGTCATAATTCTTCCAGTTGTTCCAGCACGATTTGCTGATGTGACCATCTCTTCTCTATTGGATTGCAATGCTGCTTTTATCCTAAATCCAGTGTCCACTGGTGTGCTTCTGGAAGACTCTCCCTTCTGTCCCCTTGGCCCATGTGTCTGTCCTTAGGCCAACACCACACTGTGCTAATTGCCAAAGTTTCATAGTGAGCCTTGAGCTGGTGACTTTTGGACCACAGTCTTAATCCTGAGTGAAGAATCTCTCAGTGTCAGGGTGCCTGGCTGACTCAGTCGGTAGAGCATGTGACTCTTGATCTCGGGGTTGGGAGTTCAAGCCCCACTTTGGGTGCAGAGGTGACTTAAAAATTAAATCTTCAAAACAAAAAAAGAATCTCTCAGTGTTTCAGGCAGAGGGAACAGCACAGCACAGGCAAAGGTCCTGAGATGGGCATTCTGTGTGTTTTGAAGAATATAGCAGAAGAGGCTGGGGTGGTGGGAGCACAGAGAGGGAAGATGGAGCATGGGGAGTATGTGTGGTTAGAGGGTCCTGTGAAGAGTTAGCATTTTATTCCAAACACAACGGGAAGCTGTTGGAAAATGCAAGTGCAGATAAAAACTGTTTTCTCATCATTTTTAAAGTCTTGAGGTTATGACACCATGAAAGGCAAATAACATTCCAAACACATGGTCTTATCTGTGTGACAGCATGGGGTCCCTATAAAACTTCACTTTAAAAACAGCATCTGGGGTGCGTGGCTGGCTCAGTCAGAGGAGCGTGCGACGCTTGACCCTCAGGGTCGTGAGTTTGAGCCCCATGCTGGGGGTAGAGATTACTAAATAAATACTTAAAAAATACAAATAAAAAATAAGTTAAAAAAAAACAACTTCTGCTTTTAAAATAAACCATCTTGGAAAACCAGGTGTCAGGAGTCAAGTGGACCTGAGTTTAAATAATGAATTAGTTTTTTTCCCAGTTCTGGGGCCGTAGGCAAGGGACATCACCTCTCTGAGCCTCAGCATCCTCCTCTGTACAAGGGGGCTTGTACAGAGTTCTCGCCTTCTGGCGCTGTTGCGCTAACTGGGATAGCCCCTAGCCCGGGGAGCACTCGGTGTTACTGCTCCTTGTTGTCATGGTAATGACTTTGGGGTCGAGGACACGGATTTATTCCCAGTGCTGGTCTGGGTCCTCAGTGCCCAACTGGGAGGCACCGCCAGGGCTCCTGTTCTTCAGGAGCCCCAATGGTGGGGCCCCCGTTGGAGCCCTGAGGACTCAGAAGTGGTGTTTTGGCCCCTGTGAAGTCGAGGCCTGGGGGAGGGCAGCTGGGACCCTGGGGCTATGTCCTAGGCTTGGTGGTTGCTCCAAGACCTGGGGTGTCCTCCCGCAAAGTGAGCAGCCCTGGTAGGGCCTCTCCCAGCCCCCCCACCAAGTATGGCTTGGCAGAGCAGCCCAGCTCCACCAGCCTCCAGCAGCTCCCCATTGTGTTTGGAACAGTCTAGGGGCTGTTCCTGAATGTTTCCTGGAATGACTTGGAGCATCCAGTCTCCGGGCTGAGGATACTGAGACTATAAGTCTTGATTGAGTGTGCCTGCCAGGTGGGCAGTCTTGACCTCTGGCCCTGGAGTTGTTTAGAGGAGCAGCTTTAAACAGAAGGCAAAGGAAGGTTGCAGGTTCGACAACCAGTAGGTGGTGGTTAAAGGCCTGAGCTCTGGATTCACACCCACGCTATGGCACTTGAAACCTGGAGAAGGTCCTGCTGCCCAGAGTAGGCAGAGGTTTGGAGACAAGAGCTGAGACAGGGAAGCTGCCCAGAGACATGTTCCTTGGGCCTCAGCCAAGCAAATGCCATCCAGAAACTGAGGCCAGGGAGCCAGGGGCTCATGGGTCCCCAAGACTCACCTCTGCCTCTGACCAGCTGTATGACCCTGGCTGGTCTTCCCCACTCGGCCTCATTCTGTTCATCTGCAAGCAGGGGTGAAAGCAGCCACTCAAGCTCATGATGAGGGCTATAAGGGGAGTCCTTGCTAATGGGGGTGTAAGTGAAGGCTAGAGCCAGGCTGCTGGCTGGGGAGCTGGAGGGTGGTCAGAGGAGACACTTGGGGCTATTTCCAGTGTCCGAAGATGGGTGGTCATGGCCTTCTCTGGTTTCAGTGGCATCCCTGCAGGTGGGCAAGAGATGGGCCTCCCTTCTGGGTGCTGGCCTTCAGGAGGAGGCTGGGCATTGGGGGGTGGTCCTCAAAGGCCCCTTGGCAGGAAGTGATGTCTGAGATGAGAAAAGGTGCCAATCCTGAAAGATCTGGGTAAAGGAGTCCCAGGTCAATGAAATGGCAAGTGCAGAGGCCCTGGGGTGGCCATGAACCAGGAGACTTTGAGGA